TGGGGTGGGATTGGGCTGGGATTGGGGCTGGGACCCCCAACTTGATGCCCCCAGTAAAGTGGATCTGCCCCTGGATCACTCCGTGGGTGTCTGGGATGTTGGGATTTGGGGATCAGCAGGGGTGGGGAGGGACAGGGGCTGCTCCCCCCAGGGTGTTCCCAGCGGGAATTGTCCCTGGGATTGTTTCCTTGGGATCATCATCCAAGGGGGAACACCCCCCGGGACATCCCCTTTACAGGGAACCTCTCCCTGGCCCTTCCCAGTGGGATACAGACCCAGAGCCGGTTCTCCTGGAGGATTGGAGGCTCTGCCCCATTCCCAAGGGATCCGGGGTGGGATTGGGCTGGGATTGGGGCTGGGACCCCCGTCTGGATGCCCCCAATAAAATGGATCTGCCCCTGGATCACTCCGTGGGTGTCTGGGGGGGGATCCTGGTGGGATTTGGGGATCAGCGGGGATGGGGAGGGACAGGACCTGCTCCCCCCGGGATTTGTCCCCGGGATTGTTCCTTGGGATCACCATCCAGTTTTCCAATACCTGGGATGGCCCCGAGGCTGCTTTTTCCCACTTATTGGTTCAGGATGTCCCCAAACCCCGGGAAAGAAGATCCAAGGATTCAACTCTACCTTATCTGGGACCCCTGGGCGTGTGGGGGGTCCCCAATCCTCGTATCCCCCTAAATTTTCCAGTATCCAGGTACGGCCCCTAGGCTGCCTTTTCCCACTTCTTTTCCCCCGGGAATGCCCCAAAAACCTCAGGGAAGCAGCTCCAAGGATCCAACTCTACCTTTATTGTCAGTTTGGGACCCCCGGGCTGGGGGGTCCCGGCAGCAGGAGGGAGAAGAGGGGAGGGGGGGGCACAGCAACGGCGACAATTCCCGCTTGGAATGGGGCCGGAAGGGCTGCGGAGCCGCGGGATGGCCCGGCTACTCTCTGCGGGATGGAGGAGAGCAGGGAGTGAGCCCGGTGGGACCCCCCCACATTCCCGGTTTTCGGGGGGTTCCCCGGGCTCACATGGAGTTCTCCTTGTAGTGCCGGAGCGCCTGCTCGGCCACGATCTCCATGAATTTGGGATCGTCCCACGGGATGTGCCCCGGCACCGTCAGCGCCAGCGGCTCCGAGTCGAAGAGCTGGACGGTCACCTGAGTGTCCGGAGGGGCCGACGGATCCGAGGGATTCGGGGCCTTGGACAGCACCTGGGGAGAGGGAGAGGGATGGGATGGGAGCTCCGGGATGGGAGTTGTGGGATGGGAGATCTGGGATGGGAGCTCTGGGATGGGAGATCCAGGATGGGAGATCCAGGATGGGAGATCCAGGATGGGAGTTCCAGGATGGGAGATCCAGGATGGGAGATCCGGAATAGGAACTCTGGGATGGGAGCTCTGGGATGGGAACTCTGGGATGGGAGCTCTGGAATGGGAGCTCCGGGATGGGAGCTGTGGGATGGGAGATCTGGGATGGGAGATCTGGGATGGGAGCTCCGAGATGGGAGTTCTGGGATGGGAGCTCTGGGATGGGAGATCCAGGATGGGAGTTCTGGGATGGGAGATCCGGAATAGGAACTCTGGGATGGGAGCTCTGGGATGGGAGCTCTGGGATGGGAGCTCTGGGATGGGAGCTCCGGGATGGGAGCTGTGGGATGGGAGATCTGGGATGGGAGTTCTGGGATGGGACTTCCAGGATGGGAGCTGTGGGATGGGAGATCCAGGATGGGAGATCCGGAATAGGAACTCTGGGATGGGAGCTCTGGGATGGGAACTCTGGGATGGGAGCTCTGGGATGGGAGCTCTGGGATGGGAGCTCTGGGTTGGGAGCTCTGGGATGGGAGCTCTGGGATGGGAGTTCTGGGATGGGAGTTCCGGGATGGGAGATCCGGGTTGGGAGCTCTGGGATGGGAGCTCTGGGATGGGAGCTATAGGATGGGAGATCTGGGATGGGAGCTCCGAGATGGGAGTTCTGGGATGGGAGCTCTGGGATGGGAGATCCGGGATGGGAGTTCCGGGATGGGAGATCCGGGTTGGGAGCTCTGGGATGGGAGTTCTGGGATGGGACTTCCAGGATGGGAGTTCCAGGATGGGAGTTCCAGGATAGGAGCTCCGGAATGGGAACTCTGGGATGGGAGCTCTGGGATGGGAGCTCTGGGATGGGAGATCCGGGATGGGAGATCCGGGATGGGAGATCCGGGATGGGAGA